TCTACCACAATTTATCTAATTACACTTAGCGCTCAAAATTGTGTACACTGAATTGTGTAGAATTCAGTAATAATACTGAAATATACACAGTCTACTCAAAATTGGGGTTTTTTGATTATTTAGCCGTTTTATTTACCTCTATTTTATGTACGTGTTGGGTTGGATTTTTTTCTATCATAAAGTCTTGCGTCCAACCCCACCAGCTGCAGAGACCATGAGGACCAACTAGGGCTGGGCAATAAAACGATAACGATATATATTGGCAAGAGCTCTGGTGTGTGTCGTCTGGTGCACACTGGGGTAGTCTTGCACAGTTTTTCCAATGTGGTTTTACTGCAAATGGCAAATAAATGAATCTGAATCTGATTGCGATAGACACGCGTTCGATATCAATAGAAAACGGGGTCGATAGAACTTCGATAGTTTCACTTCAGTCTGTTTGAAAAAACAGGAACAAAACACAGGAAGTAAAGCCGAGTCAGAAGCGCACGGCATTCTGGGGTATGTAGGCAGAGACTCCTCGACCTATCACAGCCGACTACAAATCGCAAAACTTTCTGGGAAATGCAAAAACAACAACTGCACCATGCGTAGCGTCCATGGATCATGGATCTATTATAATAGCCATGGATCTAAAGATTGTGTTTCGTCGCCGTGTCAATGGTTAAATACGTCCGTGCGAGGAACAGCATGTGCAGCGCGGGAGAGGCAGAGACTCGATGCATTCGGCAAAGGCAAGAGATTAACTTTTTCCGGAGCCGTCACGGGGACACATGACACTTGAAAACAGCCAAAACAGGAAATAAACCACGACTAAACCAGGATTAAACCAGGACTAACTATGGGGGAGACTGCTTGTGAACATTTGCCTCCAGCCTCATTGTACTGTCCTCCGTGCGGTTTAGGGGACGAAAGATAATGAGATGAAATTGTAACAAACCTGATTCTTGATTCTTCATGATTCTGATCGCTGCTGCTTTTACTATTCTGTGTACCCATGTCTGTCACAGCACCACCTATAGGACGCAGAACAACAAAGATGTCACTAGAATCAAGTGAATAAAGTAAAGAATGATGATCAGTTTAAGTTTACCTGTAGTTTCAGAGTCCGAGTCGAGAGTGTGGTCTGGACTGAATGGACTTTGACAGGATCTAGTTATCAGCTTTATCAATTCTGCATTTCGTTCTTATCAAAGTCGTTGTCTCTCTGGGAATCTCCGTGAAGAGAATAACCCTTTGTGTGCATGACTATAGGATACACAAACTAGTTACACAGTTAATAAGTTTAGTACTTCAGCTTCATATGGTTTCTTGTCTTACAGCATCCCATAAAAAAAGGTTGTAAAAATGAGTATCTTAGACGTGATAAGGCTACAGTATAAATCAGCTGGTATCTAATTTTATGAAACTGAGTTTTTATGGCTCTTTCTGACTCTAGCCTTCGGGTGGCAGCTCACAGTCGGGACAAGGTAACTTACTGTCACTCTCGTTGTTATAAATATAAAACTTGCATTTAGTCTAGTTTGTTAAAATGTGTTTATTTCTAGGGTTAGCTTGATGCTAGAATGCTAAGTTTGAAATATTTATAGTTATGCGGTTGAATTGTGATTGCTTCCAGTCGGTGGTTCTGTGACTACGATGGGTTCAAAGGAGAGCAAAAGTAATGTGACGGAAACAGATGGGTGCGTATCACGTTTACTTTTAATGTATTTCAAGTATTTTGTTAAATTAAAGGACACATAAGATGCTAAATGTTTCCTGTTAACCCTCAAGAACACACCTGGAGCTGGACTTCTCTGAGCCACAGACATTGCTGAATTCAAATCTTCTGAAATTAGTTATTTTGTTTTATTTATTTTTTTAAAGCTGAGGCACCTAGCTTTATTTTTTGTATGTTATTTGCTTGTCGTTTGTCCCAGAGTTTTGTTAAAGTAATATGTTGTGAACAAATCTGGCCACAGCACACTGTCTTCATGTTATTTGAAAACAGGTAATTTGTTTTAATTTTTGAAAGAAAGTCCCTATTTGATGCTTTGGGCTGAGAGCTGATTGGCTGAGTGAGGGTGGTCCTCTCTTTTTCCTCTCTTGTTCTGTCTGAAAAACAGGTCAAAGATGTCTATGTGATCTATGTGACAGAGGCCAACAAGTTCATACATGTAAAAGACATGTAGACATCAAACTTGAAAGCAAAGAGCTACAGTTTGGTGGTTTGAAAGTTGGATACCTCAGAATTTTTCTTTGTATGGGAAGATAATTCTTACTGCTATAGACCTGTTATAGACCTGTTATATACTCGTGGCCCTATTTAAGTCCAGTAGTAAAATTAAAAGTGCATCATATGTGTCCGTTAATAGCTGTACAAATTTCACTCTACAATCACGTTCAAATATTTACAGAGGCAACCAGTCCATATCCAACTTCCTCGATCACTATAAAACCAACGTGGAAAGACTGAACGAAATTATGAAAGAGCTGGAGACATGTCAAAGCAGCATCCAGAATATCGAGAAAAACGCAAACACGGCGAGAAGTGTGGCAGGTGCCGCTGCTTTTATGGGAAAGGTCGCTGAAAAGATCCCAGAGGAGATGGTTGGAGAGGAGATGGTTGGAGAGGAGATGTTTGGAGAGGAGATGGCCGAAGACGAAGACGACATTTTGTCTGCGCTGACTTTTTTCATCAATATTTTTGCCCCCGTCGCCCGCTTCACTGTCGGGATGGTCCAGAAGATCCAAACGCAGAAACGTCACCAAGCGATGGTGTCTCTGGTGGTAGAATTGAAGAAAATATTTGGTATTTTTCATGAGAATTTGCAGCGTGTCGAGGGTGATCTGAGCAGTCTTATAGAGAAAATAAAGAGCGAACCAGGCACAGAGATGACAAGCTTGTTTGGTTTGTTTGAATTGAAATCCAGTCTTTCTGATTCAAACTCTGCGTTGAAAAAATTGCTAAAAATCAGTGAAACATCCCAGCCAGAAACACGGGAAAGTTTGGATGAATGTCTTGAGAAATTGGAACAACTTACACCCAAACTACAGCAGTTTTTAGACCAAGCTGACAAGCAATAAGGCACATATGTTGTTCTTTTTCTGTTTTGTCAGAATTTAACACATTTTTGTTTATTTTCTTTACATCATGTGTCTCCCAAAATAGTCAATGCAAGCTACTGTTTTGTAATGTCCGGTAATAGTATTTTTCTCCTAATTTATAAGTTCCGTAAAGTATGCAAACAGCATTCTAAACATCCTTAAGAGAGAAAAAATCATAAGAAAGCAAAACGCATGTCCCTCAATCCAAGATATGTGCCAATACATTTCATTGAATATGATTTTTACTATAAAATAAGCTCAACACATTTTTCTCTGCATATTTTATTCATTAATTTATTCCATTCATCCGTGCAATCGAGCAGAAATAGTTACATTTACACATGCAACACATTTTCTCTCCCACCGGTACATATAGTAAAACACATATGTACTGTTGTTAAATACATATACGTCAGCCTCAGTATTCTCCAATCTGTTCACCCCATTCATTTATTATGTATCTGCTCCAAATGAAGCGGGAGGGAAAAAAACTCATACATTCCCACCCCTTGTACATAATTTACTTTAAGAAATACAATGATTTTGCACTGCATTTTCTATGTTTGAACGGTTTGATTCTCTGGCATATGTATGTACTTTGTGAAGTCCTCCAAGATAACTACTGTTGTGATTTGGGGCTATACAAAAATAAATGGAATTGAACTTTAATTTGTTCGGCTCATACACGGCTTGTTTAAAACATTTAAATGAGGCTGAGACTGCGACAATAACAGCTAAAAAAACAGTCAATGGTCAAAAGTCACTAATATCATGGGATTTCTCACTTTGACATTTTACGACTATACACCAGGGGTCTCCAACCTTTTTCATTCAGAGAGCTATACTTTGATACATACAAAGAGGCAGAGATCTACTAATCAGAGCAAATCATGAAGAACACATGTCTGATACCATAATACTGTATAATCCTGTATTTAGACTTAAAATAGATATGTACTGGGTAAAAATGTATTCATTCAAGATCATGTTTTAAATTCTAAATCCTTGAGCTTCCTGAAAGGGGCTGGTGAGCTACTGGTAGCCCCTGAGCCACAGGTTGGAGACCCCTGCTTTGACTAGACCATGATCCTTTGCTTCATTTTTAGTGCAGATTATGTGACTTTAATTTGTAATTATTGCTGCGATAAAACAATGCAGCTTTTTGTTCTGACAGTGTACAAGGCAAAAAACTATGTGTATTTCTGTTGTTGCTATAGTCTTTGATTGTAATAAAAATAAAATAATCGATTATATAACCTGCTTGTAATAATTGATGTAATAAAGTGAATACAGTTTATATTCATTGTTTTACTTCAGCAGCTGTAAAAGTCATAAAACAAATCTGTCTGGAGTCCGTCTGTGATAACGTTTATAGATACTGTACGTGTTATCTCAATGACTCGTTTGTTCAAAACGAAAGTGAATCTCAGGTACAGTAAAAGTTTAGTGCTTTGAGAATAAAGTAGCATCATAACAACGAGTGGTCAAAGGTAACACAAAGATACACTTATCAATGTTATAGAAAAAGTTGAACCCTCCTCAATATCAAGGCTCATAAACAGTTCCATTTAGGAGTTGATCCAATAGAATAGAAATAATAGAATTTGTCGTTTTCAGTATCTGTCAATGTCAAGTTCACACCAGACACAGACATCACATTTTCCCTGTGCTCTTAAATGCATCACTGCCCGAAGTCTCATTCTAATCCGCTGGATGTGTTTACAGTGGTCTCTTGTTTATTGCGGGGGTTACGTTCTAATACCAACCCACAACAAGTGGCAGCTATTTGCTTTAAGGCTGTAAAACCCCAACTGCACACTTCATACACTAAAATCAGTCCAAGATCAGTGCAATACATGTCATTGAATATCTTTTGAACCTTTCTGCATTTCTATTCATTCATTTGTTCTTTTCATCCATGCATTTGAGCAAAATAGTTTGATTATACTGTCTATGTACCGCTGTCTATATACTAACTTATTTTTCTCTCAAACGAATCAGAAGCTGATGCTCTGACGTTTTGGCCTTGTACTCGAATTATGAGTGGGAACAATCTTTGTACAGAGAAAGATCAAACTTAAAACCCTGCCTCAATGTTCCATGGGAAATTATTAAGGAAGGTACCAATCCCAGATGCCAGGGATTGGTTTTATTTGACCGTAGAAAGATGAAGAAAGGGACTTGTCACGAAGAAAGAAAGGTCCTGGAACTCATAAAAAATACCCATAAACATGTTTGGACTCAGTTTATTTGTGAGTTTGGAATTCAAACTGGTTCTGATTCATCCCAGAATGTTTAATTTGACTCTCAATAAGAGTGGGCCACTATGAAAAATTGTTATGTCCATTTTCTTGAGGTCATCCAGTAACAGCGTTAAATCCATTCGTAACTTCAGTAGCAGCGAGAATGGAAATTGCAACTACAGCTTTGCGTGTTTTTGTTTGGACGGACTTCTGTGTAACTCTCGAAGCACACGTAGTACAAGTTAATACGCCACCATTGTTGTTTATCTTGTTGTTTTCTGTTTTACTGCCGTGCAAAAGGGGCCTAAACATACATATGGAGTAGGTCTTGTGGTAACATATATGTATTCTATTTATTTAAACAAGAAAGTCCCATTGAGATTAATAACCTCTTTTTTAAGGGAGTCCTGGACAAGAGGCAGCCACAATTACACACAATTACAGATTATAAAAACAGTTACATGTCAATGAGAATGTCTCATGTACTCTCAATCTGGATTTAAAAGCATTCATTGATGTAAGTTAATTTCCAGTCTTTTTGCAACACATTCCAGGAACAGCTTTATACTATCTATGCATCTATAGAGTTGTACAGGAGCAATGCCACAAGTGATATGCAACACAGATACTTTATGACATCAAGGAAACAAGTACAAACTTCAATCAAATGTGGAAATAATATTAAAACAAGGTGATATCTCTATATTCTATTTGCGGAGTTTGAAGTTCTTCCTGTCTATCTTTAAATCATAGTGTGTTACTTTAGCGCAGATTTTTCCTGGTTCATGTCTGCAGAGGGGGCTGTAATCTATTCACTTTGAAATAGCTGCCTTTAAAGCTCGAGCGCTAATAGTTTTACCCATAAATGATACATGTTTGTCCCGACAGAGAGCACGTAAAAGTACAATGTCATGAACAAATGTGAATGAACAACGTACTACCTTCATCTTATATTTGAAAAAACCTGATTGGCTGAATGAGGGTGGTCCTGTCTTTCCAACTTTTTTGTATTGAAAAAGCTGATCTAAAGTGGCCAAAATAGGTTAATGTGAAAACTAGTTAGAGATATGCTTTTACATGTTTTGTGCTTTTACTGCTTTTACTTGGTTTGAAAGTTAGGTAGCCCTGCTTTAAAGTGTATTTGGAAAAACCAGTCCACAAATGCAGATACAGGGTGAATAGACTTCTTTTTGTCCATGATAGTTCACTGTGAGTGGCTCATTTCAAGAGACTAGGGCCAGGTTCATAAATTTGGGGTCATTTTATCTTATCTGGATGTTCTGTGACTTGGGTGGCATCTCTGACTGCCACCCCCCTGACCCAGAAATGGATTAAAGGGTAGAAAATGGATGGATGGATGTTCTGTTTTGCATTGCGGTGTGGAAGTGATTGGATATGAATGCACATGTCCAGCTTTAAAAAGGTGTTGGATGAAATTGAAGTGTGAAGAGTCGCTTCATAATTCATGTGTGGAGCCCCGGGGCCGTGGTCTGTCGCCTTTTCAACAGCTTTTTAATATTTCACTGCATCATTAAACTTTACAAGCTGCACACACGCTTCATTCACTTTGAAACAGGTTAGACACACGGTGAAGACCGCTCTGGCGACTCTGGGGTATTGGTCCATCATTAAATAAAGATATGGTCAATTAATCTGGGACTGCCTGGACCCCATGGCCACCTGGGAGCCGCCTGAGACCCCGCCCTACGGCCTAAGTCCTGGTAGACCGGGGGAGCAGATCCCTCTCTCAATATGGATTTTAAAGTTTTTCTCTGCAGATATACAAGGGTCTAAAGACAGTGAACCAGAACATATAAAGAATTTTGGTAACATTTAGGGACGTTGGTCATCTTGCTCCCTATTGACCAATGGCCGTATGTGTTTGTTATTCTTGTAATATGTTCAAATTTATTGATGCTTGAATTTGTCCATGTAATTCTCTTGTTTGATTCGTTGATCTGTTATTGGTGAATCAACTACTTTCTAACTGCTGTTGTTATTTAGGGCTATACAAAATACATACAATTACATTAGGTGGGCTCAATAATTGATTGGTGCATATAGAGGGAGAGGAATGACCATTAATGATAATAAATGTCCTGTAAATGTTTGAGATTGCGTCACTGTCCTTAGATCTTCCCCTGCATCGTCAAGGAATGAAAAAAAGACAGTGGGAAAAAAAGTGAGAAACTTTGAAGAGGCCCATATTGCCAGAGGAATCCACTCCCACGGTCAGACAGGCTATAGATCCAGGACTCAGGCTATAGATCCAGGAGTGAGGGCTATAGATCCAGGACTCAGGCTATAGATCCAGGACTGAGGCTATAGATCCAGGACTCAGGCTATAGATCCAGGACTGAGGCTATAGATCCAGGACTGAGGCTATAGATCCAGGACTAAGGCTATAGATCCAGGAGTGAGGCTATAGATCCAGGACTAAGGCTATAGATCCAGGAGTGAGGCTATAGAACCAGGACTGAGGCTATAGATCCAGGATTGAGGCTATAGATCCAGGACTGAGGCTATAGATCCAGGACTGAGGCTATAGATCCAGGACTGAGGCTATAGAACCAGGAGTGAGGCTATAGAACCAGGACTGAGGCTATAGATCCAGGACTGAGGCTATAGATCCAGGACTGAGGCTATAGATCCAGGACTCAGGCTGTACAGTGAGGACTGAGGCTCCCTGATGGATCCACCCATGAGTTCTCCATGACTGTGACTGTCTCCTCTCAGTATAACCAAGATCATGATAAAAAATAATACCAGCAGCAGCAGAAGCAGCAGCAGCCTGCATGTATAACTCATGGACAGGAATAGTCAGACTGCGCAGAACCTCTGGGTGTCGGGGTTGAGTGCAGGTGAAGGATGTGATGATGAGGTGAAGAAAGCAGGAAGTGATGAAGGATGAGTCAGAAGGAAAGAGGAGCGTGGGCTTTGGTCGCTCACCTCCGAGACAGGATGTAAACAGCCACATGAACAGCTGCTGCTTTGGAAAGTAGAAAGTGCACAATTTCTTATGGAGATTTTCAATGTGTCAGGTAGAGCTGTCGAGGAAAAGGCTAAAACCACGGCTCGCCAGTCCATTAGCAGCCCTGTTCTCAATATAGTGTTGTAGTTTATGTTAATTGTGCATTGGTACATTCAAACCCTTTAATTTTCACCCATTGAAGAAAGTATTTTTTGTTTTCCAAGGTGTAGAATTAGCATGTTTTGTTTTGTTTACCCCTATATATTTTCGTTCATTATAGGCCTTTACCAAAAGATTGAGATGCAGTTTGATAGTAAAAGTGCCTAAAACCAAGAGATAGAGATTCCCCAATGTTGTAGATTTCAGTTTCCATCTTCCAGTAGATATAGTGATTATAAATAGTGAATTTATCCACCAAATGTTTGAGGAAATGTGTGTATTTTTATCCCAAAGCCTCCTATGGACTAAAGTTAGCACGGTCTTGCTATGAATAAAGGTCCGCCCAATGTATCTGCTGCTCTCCATATCAAATAGATGAATTAAAGATAAAAAAAAAAAGAATTAGCTAGTCAAACAGATCACTCTTCATTTCATATAAACTATTTACACAATTAATTCTATCACACATTGGTTCTGCATCGCCTCAGTCCTTGTTCTACAGCCTGAGTCCTGGATCTAGAGCCCGTCTGTCCATGGGAGCAGATCCCTCCCTCAATGTGGGCCACCCCTGAAGTTTCTAATTTTCTGCCACTGGGTCTTTTGAATTTTTTCCTTGCCGGTGCAGGAGGTTCTGAAAGCGGTGATGATCCGGACACTCGACATTCAACTACAGTCATGGATTTTATCAACGTTGACGGGTCATCTTCCTCTTATGGACCAATCGCTCTATGTGTGTTTAATCATTGGATTTCCTTTTAAAGTCCTCCAAGATAACTATTGTTGTGATTTACAAACTAAAAAATATAATAGATTTTTTTATCTAGTGTCACATCTTTATATAATCTTCCTTAGACATAACATTTAAGAGCCGGTCTTTCTCAGCCAATCAGCTCTCAGTCCAAAGTGTCAAGAAGTAGGCTCTTTCTTCTAAGTATGAAAAAGATAAAAATTACATGAAGACAGAATGTTTTGGTCTGTTTCACAAGAGGATCTAGACTTTGGTTCAGAGGATGCTATCAGTATGTGCTATCGATCCTCAAAATGTTGCTTACAACTGGAAGCTAAAGCCTGAACCGAAGTCGTATGTGGCATATGTTGCAGATGAAGTGGTAAGGGCTGAGCATGGGAGCTGAAAAAACCTTCATAAATTAGTTATAGAAGAGAGGGAAGAAGAGTGGAGGGAACGAAGACAGAGGGAGGTGGGAACTGGCAGCAGAAACCCGCTGAATCACACTGCTGCAGTAAAAGGAGAGAGGAATATTAAGGCCAAGTGATTATGGACGACTCTGGAAAGAGAAAGTTGGAGCACGCAGCGCAGACTGTGGTTTTGGCCAGAAATGACAAATGGAAATGTAGTCTTTAGTCCAGACCGGGGGAAACCTCTGGGCCTGGGGCCACATGGGGTCCATTGAACCACCAGCAGTTCTGTTTGCTTAGTTAAATGAATGTTGGCTCCTTCTCAGATTCAGTTATTTGCCATTTGCAGTAAAGCCACTTTGGAATACATGTGCAGAGGTATCCCATTGTGCACCAGACAGATACATAAATAAGAAGTACAAGAAATTATTGTCACTTTGAAACCAAGTGATCATTCAATTTTGAAAGTTTCTGAAGTATATTTTAAAACACCGCTCCCTTTTCTTTTCTTCCCCGCGATGATGAACAAGATATGCCACATTGACAGCAAAAAAAGAATATTGGAATCCATCCTATTCGTAGCAACACGTAAGATAATTAAACCTGTGTATTTCACTGCTGGGTCAAATTTATTTGTAATTTTTGTGACGGGGTGAGCTCGTCCCTAAGCACGCTGTCCCACGGAGCGCATGTGAGGACTGTGTGTGTGACATGTAGCGTGCGCGAACGCATCTTCAGGGAGCACACTTGGGAGCGTTGCATGGTGCAGTTACATCTCGCGACATGTGTCATTTCACTCTGTGGTGCGTTTTGGCAAACCCGGACATACTTTTCCACTGCACCTGTCTGTGGGTCATATGGACCTTAACTCATTTGCATGGACATTTGGAGTCTTCTTAATTTGTAGCTCGTAATGTATTTTATTGGGTATATGTCAATGTGTAACTGTGAAATGCAATCATGAACCGAATGAAAAATACCCATTCTAGATATGGTGTAGGAAAAATTCACTGAGCACTGTAAATACGTTTTTGTACATTTCACACTGGTTTTCCTACTGAGAGCTTTTAATTAAAAATCTCTAAAACGCCCTTTCCGACCCAGCCATGTGTACGGAAAAAGAACCATTAAAATTTTACACTGAAAAGTAATTCTTGGAGATTCTTACGTCCTGAACCCACGTAGAAGGTGATAGATGTAAATTAAGGGTTACTGAGCTAATAATATTCTTGAAAACAGTAACTGGGGACCTCTCCTCAGAATCGACCTGTATGACTGAGCATAGCAACAATAGCACAATAAATAAATAAACAAAACAATAGCAACATGTCCAAGAACATTTATCAACTCTTTTTCCCCTCAAAGATGTTCTTATTTAGACAATATTCCGTCTGCATTGCCTGTTTAAAAAAAATTGTTTGTTTTTGTCATTACCACGACATCAAACATCTGTCTCTTTGCCACAAGGAGAACATTCCCAGATAAATCTCAGTTTTCGTTAACTCGCCGTTTATCCTCTATTCTCTTGCGGTTCACGTAAAACGACTTCCTTTGTCAAGAAAAGCAGCACAGAGAAGTAAACATGTCGTTTAAGATGGAAAAGTGGAGTGTCTTAGTGATGAATGGCAGCGATCGTTAGCAAAGAGGCGTTCAAAGTCACAGCAGATGGAGACGTGTTAAAGGCCAAGAAATAGAACTATGAATAGATGCAATGCTCCGGCTTTTTATCAACAAGGACATGAGAATATTGGTTTAAGCAGTTTGGATATTGTCCAATATTATGCCATGTTTGTTTTATTTCATGGGCCAATCAAACTAAATCAATTGTGTTTTTTGTCCCCCAAGAAAATATTTGGACTCCAGGACTCCCTTGAAAAAGAGGTTCTTAATCTCAACCGGACTTTCCTGGTTGAATAAAGGTTAAATAAAAAGTAAAAAACATGTCTTTGCAAAGTGCTGGCAGATGCTAGCTTTTTGAAAAATGCTAATAAAGCATTTAGCATTTTACTTTGGACTAGAGCAGAGAAAATGGTCCGAACCAAACGGCTACTCCACCTTGTGACCCGTCCTGCTCCACCCAAAGGCTACTCCACCTCTGCTGCTGTGACCTGAAGGGATGTGGCTGATTATTACTATTGTTAGCTTTTTAGAATGATCAATTGTGTTTTTATTTCTGCTGCTACTGGACACCTGAATTTCTATAACATATTTATCTATCTAACTATGCAAAACGCAAGACAAAAAATAAAATAAGTTGTATGCACAGCCAAACAGATATGATTTAAACTATTGTTTTTTTTTTTTTGTAAAATATATAGACTCATTTGACCACATTCGACATAGCACCTATGCACCCCTGCATTGCATACACATTCACATACATATACAGAAACTCCGCAAACCAAGGCAGAACTGAAACAATAAAAAAACGCAACCCGAATATTTTTTATTTATTTTTTACTCTCCCCCTCCCCCCCAACCCCTCCCACCTTAACACCTACTGTATTTGTAAACCGTATATATTAGATTTCGAATAGAATTTTGTTTTATTTCTTTCTTTTATGTTGTCATTCTTGTAATTGTATTAAAATGTAATAAAGTTAAATAAAAAAAAAAAAAAAAAAAAAAAAAAAGATATGATTTAAACTGCTGCCTCGAAATCAGTGTTTTTCAACCAGTGTTTTGTGGTACATCGGTGTACCCTGAGATGTTGATTGGCGTGCCTTTGAAAAACGATCCAATATCATCTGCTTTGTCAAAAAAACGTGAAAAGAAACTCATGTGAGGAGTGCCATGTGATCGTTTCTTTTTTCATTATTATTGTCATGTCGTTGTGCACTTGTCACACTCTTGTCTCGGATCCCGTTCCGTCTGTGTTTTGTTCCAGTGCACAGTTGACAGAGCGACCCACACGTCTGATTGTCGCTGCTATTTCACTGTTTGCAGATCGTGCGACGGCGTTAGCTCAGTGCTAACAAACGCTCCCAACTCTGCCACGTCTGCTGCCTTTTAGCCCTTTCCCAACACCACTTTCTGAATCACGCACGGCTTGTGGCAGTGGTTAACGCTCTCCTGACCAGGGGAAGTTAAAGATTTTCTTATGTATAGCATAGAGTTAATTACAATCAAATCAACGGCCATTTTGGAAGTTCTTTGCAAATAAAACAGGTACTCGAGCTGTGCAGACAACTGAAGGATTGTACTTTCAGTCTTTTTAATGCACTGTGATTATTTAGGATTTGAATGTTAAACTTTTTAAATGCTTTGTAGGATTTAAATGTTTATGACTTGTGAAGCACTTTGCGTTATTTTTGGTATTTAAAACAAGTTAAAGAAAAACAATTTAAATTTGGAAATGGTATCTTGGTATGAATCTATCAAACAGACAAGAATCTCTCATCTTGTCTTCAGGAAATATGAATATTTTCTCAATGAGACGTCAAATCTTTCTCATTTAGACAAATATGTGGCTGTATGCTGCAGTGGATACAAGAAATCCAAACTTGGCAAAAGGGAGTCTTGGATGAAGGATCTGTCTTGAGAAAATCAGGAACTATCCAGGCCCAAAGACAATGTGAGCTGCAGGAAGTCATCATTAGGAGGCATTTATTCACTCGGCCAAAGCAGAGGTTTCGTCCTCGGTC